AAGTGCTTCATTGCTCATCGGATTTCTTCAGGATAAATAAAGATTCTAATTTCACACAGCGCACAACCGCATGAAACCTATTCATATTGTTAGGTTTTTTCGGTAAAGTCACGTAGGTAAAGCATTAAAATTAATAAAAGTTAAATAAAATAAAAATTAAAATCACGACGTTTCGGAGGCAACACAAGCTTCCGTCTTCAGTTGGAACCGTCACAGCCACGATAGCTGTATCAAGTAAATGAGAGATTACAAGAGCTACCACTCCGTATATATAATGGTTGGAGAGGGGGAAGGGCCAAGTAAGGCACACTTTTTATTAATATGGTAATGTGAGGCTTAAGACTAAGAATAGACTGCATAACAAAAGGCTGAGCCTTTGTTATGGAGAGGTACGGTTTGTGACTAAGCCTGACCTACATAACAATAGTGTGAAAAAAGAAAACAACTAAACATGGTAAAACAAGCCTGGCTGTCTATCAATAACCTGTAATAGTTGTCTGTCAAATAAGATGGACCAAATAAGTGTAGTTAAATCTTTTTTGCATGGTTAATCACATCGTTCCAATGATTACTCAGTTTGTAACCATCATCACGGTTGAAATTATGTCTGTGTTTGTATATTTGTATGGCTTCGTGTACAAACCTTTGATGGTAGCCAGGAGGTTTGCAGAGCACCTTGGTCTCGGAAAAGACAATTTCATGAGAGCCCACAGAGTTGTAGCAATGATCGGCAACGGCCGAAGAATCAGTTCTGCCGTGTTTCAGATCTGACTTGTGCTCGCGGACACGATCAGAAACATGACGTTTCGTTTCTCCAATGTAGCAATCACCACAACTGCAACTCAAACCTACCACTTCCTAATGGTCCATGATGGATATGTATCCGTCACTGCCAGCATCTTAGCCGCACTATTCAGTTACGAGAGGGGAATATTTTCAGTGGCCTGGCAAAAGTGTTTCAAAATTTAGCTTCCACGTTCATCTCAGTGTTCATTCATCTGTGACCCACCAAAGGTATTTAAAAGCCCTGTCCGGCTATACAAGTGTAGAGGAGTATTGTGAGTTACCAATGAGGGGGCGTACGGAAGGAGGTGCGAGCGGGTTGAGAGTCAAGGATGACTTAATGTCACGGGTTACGTAAGGGGCTTTCAGAAAATACTTTCTGGAACGTGGGCGGGGCCGAGCTGGGAGGAGGAGCCGCCTAAGGGGTTCTTAAGGGGGACCCCATGACGTCGTTGGGTGCCAGTGTAAGGACCGGCTGGAAGAGGGTTTCTTTCCTCGTCGCGGAGCGGTGTTGGCTGATCCCCCACTCCGGGCAGACGAGTGAGATAGCCAAAGGGTAGCCGATGGTAGGGTCCAAATAGTATTCAGTGTCCGGGTGAAGGACCGTGATTGAGTGCACCTACACTGGTGTGAGTGTAGGATGCCGAGTGTGAGAGTGTTTTAATAAACGGCAACAGCCGTTATAGTATTCCTCGTCTCTGCGTGGTTATACTGCACAACACAAGTACACGGTGGAAACGGGATGGTAAATGACAGTGCTCCACAGCGCCATTTATCATCGCCACTATTCAGAACGGTTCCTATTCCTATACCGCGATGCTTCTGCAAAGGGGGAAATCGCAGTGAGTATGGGCTGCTGCAGGGCGAATCGGCTTCATAGCGGCACCTCCACATCACTAGTTCCAACGTGGAATAACCACGTCACAAGAGACGCGAGTGGCAGCTGGAAAAGCGGCGATCCTATCATGACAGAGACTTTCAGCACAACCCCTTCCATTATCATTATTATGATGATTATTGCGCTGGCTGAAAATGTGTGCAATTGTATTATCCCAGCAGTAATTCCAGTGGTGCTGATTTATATCTGGCAACTGACCGTGTAATTTGTCCCTTGCTTAGTCTAGTGTGGGGCTGGGTGCTCTATTCCATTGGTGGCCCAGAGATGTGGTGGAAACTCCACATTCCTATGGAAGGGTAGTCTTTTCCTAGAATGACTGCTGTTTTCTTCCAAAAAGTGACATTCATTTTTATCAGCTAAGGGATGATGATGATACTGAAGAGTGGACAAGGCAATGTTGAAAACTCCTGGCCAGGTCCTTTCCTGGTACACAATATGGGTGTGTGTACAAAGATTAAAGTGCAGTGGGTTAGCCATTGTGCCACCACTCCTCGCAGGTTGCTCGTACATCATCCAGGGTACACCACATCGGTCACAAACAATTTGTAAACGCCTACCACATATCCACACCCAGAGTGCCCAAGATTAATGCCCCGGCACTTAGACAAGCCCACAAATGTTCCCGCTGCGGTCAATAATCGCGCTCTCTCGGCATCCCCGAGCTACTGTCAGCACACCGGCAAATGGTTAACATGACCACTTAGGCAAGAGGAAACATTCTCCTGGACTCGATGTATGCAGACATCTCAATGCCTGAATGATTTTCATGTTTTGACATCTTGATTTGGCTGTGATTTTTTTTTCATTTTGGGAGAAAATAGAATTCATTTTAATCGTAGCAGGTTATGGGGACAGCAATGATTGATTGTATTGCTAGCAGCTGTCACATCAGTGTTTGGTGGGGTGGGTGGAGAGAATGCATCAGAGGGGGGGGGGGGGGACCAGCCATCCCCTTAGTAACGAGCCTCCGTTCCCATGGGAATGATGCCATGGTTACCATGATGCAATGGGCCCCAACAACCAACGGTATTATTTTTGCATGAAGTTCGCAGAACCTGTCCCCTCTCAGTGTGCCTGTGTGGTCGTCTGCGTGTATTCATGAGAATTGCGAAGTGTAGCCTTGTGTCAATCCGTGTCACCACTGATGTTTGCTGTGGCTGGAATATCGAACTCAGGTCGTCAGGTAAATACATAACGTAAACTAGGAACCTATTGACATGCATATGCCAATCATCAATCGTATGCAAATCATCAATCATATGCAACTCATCAATGTTGCATCTTGTCTGATAGTTAGAAAACAAAAACATGATCCAATCACGAGTTTGATACGTGATGAGCTGCACTAGCTACCGATTAGATACAGGATTGCGTACAAATTATGCCGACTCGTCTTCAAGAGTCTCCATCAGTCTGCTCCATCCTATCTTGCCGATCAGCGTGTACCAGTTTCAACAGACCCAAATCGACTCCGACTACGATCTGCGGCTCGCGGCGACCTGCTGCTGTACCTGCCGCGTGTAAACCTCGCGTGCGATACACAGCCGGCGCAGTTTTGGGGTCTCCGGCCAAAAGACCTGCAACATGCTACCAGCTCATGTTCAGGATCCATCCCTGAGTCTGAGCCAGTTCCGCAGCAGACTTAAAACAGTGCTGTTTCAGAGAGCCTTTTTCAAAGTGTGGTCGATGCGCATTCGTGATGGACTAGACTTATAAGGTTGTGCAATATCAAATGTTCTTATTACTTACTTACATATATAACTCATCAATCATATGTAAATCATCAATCATACGTAACTCATCAATCATATGTAAATCACCAACCAGTGGTGGTGCTAGTCCTATAGGAGCAATTTATTTTGGGGAACCCCATGTCCATTTGTCAAATCCTAGTGAGATGACAAGGGCGGTATAGACAATAGATGAAGTGAGATTAGAGAAACATGAATAAAAATAGGCATAGTGAGTTGAGAGAAGAGAGATGCAGACAAAGACGAGAGACTAATTGGATGTGTATGCTATGTATTGGGATTTTAAAGTAATCTGATATCTCATGGCATGAATCCAGAGCCACTGAACCGGCTTGGTGCCCCACAGCTTTTTCTTGGCTTGTTGATGCCACCGCTGTCACCAAGGTGCAGACATTGGCTCAGAAAGAGTTGGAGGCCCTGGTTGGGTTAGAGTCATCTGTCGCCTGTTACACGTGCAGTGGATTCAACTGAGTCGCAGACGTACTCTTTGGAGGAAACACATTTATTAACACCAACACAAAGGGGCAACTGCCCCTTTACCAGATCACAGCCTATGGTGGTGAACCACCAGGCTAACTACACTAATCACACTGGGAGTAGCTACAACGGACCGGACCCCGGCTTGGGTCCATGTCCACGTATCGGTGACTCTTCTCGGACGTAGGACGTAGAACGTAGATCTTCAGGCTGACAACAGCAACGCTGACCCCCGGACCCTCTGGGGACCAGGTTTATATCCTCACGGGTCGTGGCTGGCTCCGCCCTTGTCCACGACCACCTTCTCGAATCCTCTAGCAGGATCTCGCCCAACACGTGACCACCCCTAGCTCTCCACTTGGGGCCCGTGTGTAGATCTTGCCCGTCACGTGCCTTCCAGGGTCAACTAGAGTGCCATGGCCTACATTAACCCCATTCATGGCCGGCACCCTCACACTGCACGCCGAGCGTGGTGCCACTCAGCGCTCACCGAGCCCCTCTAGGGCTGGCACTACACCCACATGTACGGGGTGTCCGCGATGGCAATACATCACACGCCGTGCCTCGCTAGGGCCGGCGTCACACAGTGACATCCGCGATGTCACTACACGTGTGTGAAGTTCATAGCGCTCAGCTCATTAGGTAGGCGGGAATGAATGCTCTGTCGACGGCCACACTAATTGCATGATTGTTTCCGGAAATGGGTTCTTCCGTATGTACACAAGGCAGAGTGCCTTTCTCCGCTCGCAGCAGTCGTGCAGCTCTCCACTTGCTTAGTGCACAAAATCCACAGGTTGGGAAGTGGCGAGTGGCGCCTGACGCATGGCCCCACGCACTGCTGGTGGTCGCACAAAGTCATCGGAAGGTGTATTTACTCTGGCCATAGGAATGTAGTATTTTCACCACGGGCTCAGGGTTGTAAACAGATAAGCCCTGGTGCAATTATTCAATGCTAATCTGCCTTGATGTTTAATACCCATTTGTGGGTACGTGCCCAAAATGTATGTGTGTGCACGTACGCATATGCGTGTGTGTACGTGCATGCGTGGGCGCAAACTCACTAATCTGTGTGTGCGTGCACGCGTGCGCAGATGCTCGCCATCATCTCCATCCTGTTCATCGTGCTGTCCACGATCGCGCTGTCGCTCAACACACTGCCTGAGCTGCAGCACAAGGACGAGTACGGCCACTTCACGGACAACCCGAGCCTGGCGCACGTCGAGGCCGTGTGCATCGCGTGGTTCACCACCGAGTACATGCTGCGCTTCCTCTCCTCGCCCAACAAATGGAAGTTCTTCAAAGTGAGACCCGCAGAGCTTCCGGCCGCTGGCGCGCACCTGCGTGTACATGCCCCACCGTGGGCAGCAGTGGTGGCACAGCGGTTGGCGCAGGGCGCTGCGTGCACCGTGTATATATAATTACACAAACCCAGCACCGCAGCGACCCCACTCTGATTCACGTTCACAGTCAGCACTGGTAACGACTATCTGAACTTGTCATGGGTCTCCCCCAAGGTTGACTCAGCCGTAAAAATGCGTGTAAATATCAGCACTGGAGAGACACATTTGGCCGGGCGTGGTGTTGCCCACCCATGCTGCTCGAGCACACGAGCTCCTCGTGTGCAGCCCCTAATTCGCAGCAGCTAGAGAGATTGTTCCATCAGAGGACTGTGATGGATCATAACTGCAGATTCACTCACTGATGTTGGATTACATTGGCTCCTGCGTAATATTGGAGTGTACCATCTGTGCAAGGGGTGGGGGGTTGCCACATAAAATATAATATATTTGCTACTATGAACAAACCAGCCTGCTTAAGAAGGATTGAGCCTAGTTATTACTTGGTTTGGAAACCACCAGAGCTTGCCAGGTGTTGTAGGCTCGGGGGCTGCGAGTTGTGATCAGAAGATTGCAGTGCTGAGATTCACCCCCTCGTGTACAGCGTGGTTGTGTGTCCTCCGGGTTCTCCAATTTCCTCCCACACAACGCCAAACACTTGTGAACGGAATTGGCTAAACATCCCAACGCAGGACCCTCTTCATAAATACAGGGCATTCTTATTATTACTTTTTTTGTCAGATGTTGGTCATTTTTCTTGCAAATGTTCATGATTTAACGCCTCGACCTATTTCCACTCTCCTTGTCACTTGCTCTGTCCGTACTATGTGGCGAATATAAACGATGAGTTAATGCTATTTTAATGATCTCGGATATCACAAGGGCATACCTTGTAAAAGTTCCACGTGTGTTGCAGTGATTCCTCAACAGGAACGCGTATTCCTTAAAGATTATGTCGAGAGGTCCATTCGTCACATTCTTCTTCTTCAGAGAAACGAATATTGATGTGCATTCACTGATTGTCTGCTCTTCCCCTCTTTGTAATTGAATTTGGTCTCACGTCTGCTCAAGGGCGCTCTCAACGTCATTGACCTGCTCGCCATCCTGCCCTACTACATCACCATCTTCCTCACCGAGTCCAACAAGAGTGTGCTGCAGTTCCAGAATGTGCGTCGCGTCGTCCAGATCTTCAGAATCATGAGGATCTTGAGGATCCTCAAGCTGGCTCGCCACTCAACGGGCCTCCAGTCGCTGGGCTTCACGCTTCGCCGCAGCTACAACGAGCTCGGCCTGCTCATCCTCTTCCTCGCCATGGGCATCATGATCTTCTCCAGCCTCGTATTCTTTGCCGAGAAGGACGAGCAAGACACCAAGTTTAAGAGCATCCCGGCATCCTTCTGGTGGGCAACCATCACCATGACCACGGTGGGCTATGGGGACATCTACCCACAGACACTGCTCGGCAAGATCGTGGGTGGCCTTTGCTGCATCGCGGGCGTGCTCGTCATCGCGCTGCCCATCCCCATCATCGTAAACAACTTCAGCGAGTTCTACAAGGAACAGAAGCGGCAGGAGAAGGCGGTGAAACGGCGTGAGGCGCTCGAGCGAGCCAAGCGCAATGGCAGCATCGTGTCGATGAACTCTAAGGAGGCATGCGCCCGTGGCCTGGAGCTGTCCGACATGTCTCAGCGCCACGGCTCCAGCATCGAGGTGCACAAGGAGAAGGAGGCCGATGCTCTGCTGCAGCAGCAGCGCTCGCCAGGCCGCTGGAAATGGGGGCGTCGCTCTGTGACCTCCCTCGTGGAGACTGGCTCAGTCAAATCCCTCGAGCTCAAGACGAGCGAGTCACCCAGCCCGCGGGAAAAGCGGGCTACGGAGGCGACCGATAACGTGGAGGCGGCGGCTGCGGCATCGACCGACTTTGCTGGCACCACCTCGAACCCAGTGCCCGGAGACTCACAAAGGCTGAGCGTGGAGCGGTTGGAGGAGATGTTCGACGAGATGGCAAAGTCTCGGCCCCCCGTGGACCCGATGACCCTGTCCGCGAGCTCGGGGGAGCGGCCTCCAATGGTCGCAGAGGGGCGGACGGGCCCGCTGCCCACCGTCTCCTCGGACTTGCACTTCCAGGGGCTGACAGGCAGCATGGGCAGAGAGCAGCACCCAGAGATGCGAAGCTTCTCCAGCGTCGACAGCTTCACAAGCTGCACCTCCGAGTTCCTGGACAGCGACCGCCCACTCAGCTTCATGTCCGGCCTGTCCGAAGTGGCCGGCGATCCACGGCCCAAGCCCCTGCCCATTATCAGCGAGTGCGGCAAGGGCGTCACGCCATGGACCAAGCTGCCGGCAGGGGTGCGGTCCAGCTGGCACGTCGGCGACGCGCACACCCCGCTCCAGCGTCAGCAGCACCACAAGGCTCCTTTTGGCAGCGCTCAGAGAGAGGCCTGCGGCAGCATCAGGAGCCGCCCCGTGCATCCTGCTGCCGCCACCACCGCGGCGAATCCGTGGAGCAACAAGGGCTGGAGCAGCCTGGCGGAGCTGAGCACGCAGCCGCTGGCACTGGGTGCCGTGGGGAAGGGTCTGTCTGGGTCGTCCCTCGGTGCCACGCAACCGGGCGGAAATACGGCCGAGGCAGCCGCGAAGCAGCCCAACTCTGGCATGCTGCCGTCGAGGGAGAATGACGACAACAGCGCCGGCGGCACTGGGGACGGTGCGGCGAGACCGTCCAGGTCCCACTTCTGCGACGACGGCGGTGCCGTCCGGGAAACCCGCGCGGCCTCCCAGGGAGAAGCCAACCACGTGGAGGCGGCGCTGCCTCCGGCCACCGCCCGCCGCTTCGATGGCCACGTCGCGGAGCCCGGGTATGGACAGAACCACGTGCGCGCCACGTCGGCGCCGCTCGATCACAAGGTGCTCCTGGCGCCGGAGGGAGACGCCACCGAAGACGCAGACGCGCTGTCAACCGTGTGCGAGACCAGCATGTGAGAGCGCCCCCCTTCCACCCAACGCGGGACGTGAAAACCAACTCGGCGAGTGGTGGTGCCACGCGACTAGCCGGCGGTGTAGAGAAGCTGAATCGTCGCCGCCGTGCGTGGCGGGCGGTTGGTGCCGTACCGGCCGAGTGTGCGGAAGGTGCCGTGTGGGGCGAGGGTGTGGGAGGTGCCGTGTGGGGCGAGCGTGCGGGAAGTGCCGGCGCGGCTGGAGGAGCCGGCATGATGGGTGCCATTACGCGGCACGCGCACTGATAGTCCAATGAGACGCGAGAGCCCTTCCTGGGAACTGCCCCGGAGGATGCTTTTGCTGGTGTTTTTCTCCCATCTTCATTCAATTATTTTTGTATCCATTCTGTTAAATTCAGGGATACAGACAAACGGTGGGCATTATATTATGGGCAACCGGGTATCGTTCGGTTGGCTGCCGATGCGAAAGAGGAAACGGCAATGGATGACTACAGTGGCGGAAATAAATTGTGTTTAATTAATCTTTAATTCATCTTACAAATCCTGTGCAGTGAGCCGATTCCGATGAATTATCCCCGAAGTAAGACTGAGAGTGGTGTTTTCTGATGGGAGGATGGCATCTTCGCCTCCCAATAAGGCACGTAATGTTGCCCGATTACCGGCTTAATCCTCGGAAACGCACGCCACCACGATCCGTGCGTGGTTCCACGGTGCTGGAAGGGAAAACCTCTCGGGAATTGAGATAATTATTGGCACGCTAATAAAGCTCGCAGCGAACATTACGAGTTGCCGCTGTTGTCGCCCGCGTTTGTTTGTTTCACACTTGAGGATGCTTAGTTTTGTCGCGACATGCCTTTTTGCTGGTTTGGAATGACAACAGCGTGCAATAATCCGTCCCGTCAGGAGGAATAATCGACACAAAAAACCTACTCCAGTCGCACAAAACTCACAAGCAGAATGTAAACACTTTACTTTCATACTTTTATCAGCGGAGCTGCAAATTATGCATATGTAAATGGGACATTTGGGCTTTTTGTGTTGGTTTGTTTCATTTCATTAGCTCCGCAGAGATACGCCGAAAACAAGCTTCACAAGCATTTGCACCGCCTCTCCCGATGGTCATCCCTAGCCATCGCCGGCAGCGGATGGGAATGAAAATTGACCAGAGCAAGCAGCCAGCGAACAGCCCTCTCCTCTTCTCATTCCATTCCTCATCAGACAAAAAAGGAAGCACTTTGTGGAGGATACGTTTCATAATGAACGAGAGTGAACGGCAAATGGAAACGCTTCCCGCAAGATCTTCCCAGGAGCCCAGATGATCGGGTCCTGGATATCGGCATGCTCGCTCTGTTACCACAATGGTGGTTCATCCGAATACCAGTCGCAACGGGAGGTCCTGTAACATCGTTAAAGTATCAATCTCATGCATTGCTAATGCTCGCTTTAAATACTAGTTATAATGGTGTAGAATGCATCAACTGCCCTCCACAAACACACACACTGGTGCTCAGTCATTCAGATGCATACACACACATGCATCTGTATTCTCTATCATACATGTACACACATATACTCACACTCGCATTCGTGCGCGCTACCCCTCGTTTCGTCTCGACCCCTCCTCCCCTCCACCATCTCACACTGACCTAACGACCATTTCCATGGTCGCTTCACCTTCACAACCGTTCACCGTAACGGCGGAGACGCGAGGCTCTGGCACCCGGCTACGAAAACAAAACAACTGACACCACAGACGCTTAGATCCACGCGCAGGTTCCTTTCCGTTTGTAACGATTTTTTATTTTACTTTCCATGCCCCCACAACAAAGCCGCCCCCTGATCCGAGTATGCTAATCATACGTCCCATCCGCCTGTGGTCTGCTCACGGTTCACCTCGCCCATCGCTTGCCGAGCTCTTGTCGAGACGACTCCGATAACAGTGGCGGTGGTTGTGTTTCTTGGGGTGGTGTTTATGCTAATAATGGTGGTGGTCATGGTGGTGGTGATGATGATGCTGTTGTGAATGCCAAAAGAGAAAACTGAACAAAAAGGTAAAACAAAAAATCCTGCCAAATGTAAGGGGTAGGAGGAGTACACGAGGCCACCACCCCTGACCGTGACCCCAACCCCAGACCCAAACTGCACTGCCAACATAAACGTTAGCCCAACTCTTGATGCTAACTAGCTAAGCACACATATCCAGTAGCTCTGCCGAGAGCCTAACCACGACAGTCAACTCGACTCTACACCTGCTCCCAACCCTAACCACAATAACTAGATACCACCTCTAAACACAATCGCACTCTACCCAAACGCTTGCCCTCACCAGTAACCCGAAACAGCCCCAAGCACTGGCCCTACCCATAACCCTAACCATAGCACTTAGCACGCTGGCCAAGCAGCCCCAAACAGTACTCCTATTTCTTACCTCAACCACACTTGCTGACATAACTCTCTCGTCCTAAGCACACGAACCAACTAGCCTCTAAGATGAGACCAGCCCCGAACCCTACCCACACTACCGGCCGTCTGGGACGCTCTTCCTTCCAATATTAGGAAGCCACTGGAGGTATGCACTTTTACATCTACATTGAGAACTCAATTCTTTAGAACTGCGTTTTGTGTTTAATCTAGTGTCCTTCCCCCGCACCTGATTAGCATGGTTGGCTACGTACGGTGTGAAAGAAGTGCAACATACATACACGGAACCAGTCCCCATCACTGGCCCTACCTCTGAAACCATTCCTATCACGAGCCCCACATCGGGGCTCTGCGCAATCCCCTTGTCCGTTTTTATTCTCTTTTCAGGTTTAGTTTTTACATCGCTGGGATGAAGGGATCATTGTAACCAGGGCAGAGTGGCTGTGACAGGAGTGACACCGCCGTGACCTCGTACACAGATAGGCGGTGAAGACTTCTTACCCCTCGCCATAATGCAGTTGTGAAGTCTGCAGACTTTTACGACGTGGTAATGACAAACTGTAAACCAATAACAGCAGCCACAACAAAATACAGCTGCGATGCGCAATTAACGACATGTAATGGGCAAAGTGATTTCCGACCCAATTGAGCTGGCAGGAGTAGGTGTCTGATAGGTCATCTGTGCAGAGTTTTGAGTGCTGTCCCGTCGTAGGGGTGAACACAGTGGTCTCCTGCCACGCCCGAAAACTCGAGGCAATTGGCCAAACATCCCAATGCAGAAACCTTGAGACACATCAGAGGCTTTTTCCTAGAGTAACAAAATGAATTATCAAACACGAGTGCAATATGAGCCAATATGAAAATACTGGGCTGAGAAGTTACTGATAGTAAACGGTCATTTAAATAAAAAATCAGGAAGACACTGCAAAGATTTGGTGGCCTCCAGCCAGCCAACAGAACAATGAGAGTTGTAGCGAATGAACGGTCCGACTCGCCTTACGCGAGGGAGGTAGCGAATTGAATGGATGGCTGTGCGCGATACGGGACACATGGTCGGGTGCAATAAAGTATCGCGCGATTATCCGAGAGATCGTTGACCTTCACATAACGTGCAAGTCAACACACTTCTTGGAGAGAAGCAAGTGATGTTTAGCCGTGTCTGTCCTTGTTTTGCCACGGCCCGTATCAAACTAGAGCCGTGTTTTACATACTCGTGAATACAATGGGCGCAGAGTGCGGGTGTACAGACTCCGATGCGTCCTGTCTGTCTGTGTGCTGCTCGTGTCTCTGTGGGCTTGTCTCGATGTCTCCGGTGTAGCCTGCACGTGTCCGCATGTCTCCCTGTCCCCGTGTCACACCTTGCTGTGATGGTGAAAGATGCTTTGTTTTTAAGTCTTCCCAGTGCAAATTCCAGCTGTGCCCATGAGCGAGAAAGCCAGTTTCAGGCGGGCAGCTGCTGGTAACCCGGTTTAATCACCACCGACAAAATCACCGACTCCCCATTGAGGCAAACGCAAACGTACGGCGGCGCTACGCCCGCTCGCGCACACCACCGCTCGAGCGAATTCTCGATGGCACTTGGTCTACTCGTCCACGTTGACCGCGCGTCTTGAAAACGTTGGGTGTATCCACATTTTACCTCGCCACACGCGAATCGACTAACAGTCATGCATTCGTCAATAACACTGCTTTTAAAGAAAAACAATATATATGATAGAGACCTGGAAGAGGATGGTCAGAGACTGTTAGGGTATATCTTGGATGTTGCGTGTCGACTTTGGTGAAGTTGCGGGATCTGGCGAAGGGGAGAGAGCATTGGCAGCAAGGAGCTGGTGGTGGCAGCAGTGGCTGACCTCACGATCACATCCCGATCTTGATTGGTCACTTCTGGCGTGGTGGACTGCGATTTGTCAGACCTGTCGATTTTACAAAGTACTTATATTGAAATAAACAGCACTTATTGGAATTAATATTCTGCTTGCAAAGCCAGCAAAAGTTCCCTCCATGGCAGAGAACCGCACTTTGCGGCAGCGCACTGGTCTGCTCGTGTCAGCAAACTCGTGCAGCAGGGACCGTGTTGTCGCACCTGCAACCACTTCACGCAGCCTCCTCCCTCCTCGCTAGATGAGTGGACGTCCCGGGAATTTCAGCGATGGCTTATTCCAATTCGTTCGTGAACTTTGCATAATGTGTATATATATATCTGTCTCTACACGCGTATTACGATTATTATTTATTTTTGCTTCAATATTGCGTCATCGCTCGAGTCTCCTGCAGCATGTTTTACCTCCGCTGCAAGGACTTCCAACGGTGGGTCTCAACCTAACCAGCGCACGCGTGCGTGCGTGCGTGGCCCTATACATAACCGTGACGAGCCAAGACGACCACACCACCCCTCCTAGCCCCACTCGTGGCGGAGGTGCCCCACCTCGGGAGCTCGCCAGCGCGCCAGGGCGGCGAACGGACGTGGGTCAGAACCTGAACTCTCAGCCTCAATCACCGCTCATCTGCAAGGCTGCTTTAGAGTCCCTGTCGATGACTCAACTACTCACCCACCCACCCATCCTGGTCCTTGGAGTGGTGCGAAATATGTTCAACCTGGCTGCTCTATATCACAACCTCCGTACAGGAAAGAAGTTGGTAGGGCATCGCCCCCCAACCACAACTGGGGCAGTGCACAATTAAACACTCGGGGAGTGGCGTGCCACCCACGCTAGACCGACAAAGCTAAGACTTGTGGGCCAAGGGCGAAACGATGGTCGGCTCGTGGTTGGTGGAAGCAGGACAGACTCTCATTGGCTGACAGGAGCGAGGCGACGCCGTTAGCTCGCGGCTTGTTGCGGCGTGGCACTGGGACGGGCATTTGTGAAGCTGTTAATTGGTAATGCAATGTACTAATGAATGTCTGAATGTAAAGGCACAGACTATTTAAAGTATTATTGTACAGAAATGAATACTAAAACATACAACAGAGGCCAATGTATGAAACGGTAAAGGGACAATATGTACTATACAGAGTGAAATTATTATAGTTGTGTAATTTATAATTAAACTAATACGATAATTTATAAACTGGGCAATTACCAATTTTGCACCTTACGTGAACCCTTCCCCCTCCCCTCTTGGTGGATGTTCTCTGTTCGCTGTGCATTGCTGTTCTGTTTGGGCCATGCACGTGGACACGTGAGCTCGTGAGAGTGTCAGTGGGGAATTTGCTTCAACTTTCTCCATTTTTAAAAGCAATAACGTGTTCTTTTCCCGTTTTGGCTTTCGGTTCACTGTCAATGTGCCACTCGGCAAGGTGCATTCCTCCTCCTTTTAACGGATGTTGTTTCCGCGTCGTGACCCCCGTCCTCCGTCTCGTTATATGTGCCTGCTCGCCACGGCGTCCGTAACGCAGCGTGGACTGCCGCTGGCGAGGTTGGTTCTCCCTCGGATCTAGGTTGAGGAGTGTAAACAAACTCCACTCCGGGTTTCCCGGCCTCGGGTGATAACGTGTGTAGGCGGATCGACTGAAAAAATTTAATTCCGAAAACTGGCAGTGGCTTCGTCCTCATAGGTGCTTTCTCAGAGACCCATAGGCTCACATAGAGATAGACTCACACAGGACTCACTCACATACAGACTCATACACTGACAAAGAGACCAATAAACTCGCAATGAGACCCACAGACGTGCAGAGACCCATTGATACACTTGAATGCGCAGACAGTGGCTTCATCATCAGCACTTTCTAACAGAGGCTCATCGACTCACATAGATACCTGCAGGCTAAAAAAAAGACTCATAGCCTCACGCCTCACATGCAGACCCACTGCGAAACTGTAATGAACTGGCAGTGACTGGCCAGAGATCCACAGCCTTTACAAAGAGACCCCTTGAGTAATTGGCCTGCACTGGTGGAGGCAGTGGAGAACTGGTCTGGCGGAGCCCAGCAGGCGGCATGATGATTACTGGACATCTGTGAAAAGAGCTTTATAGCTCATCGAATTTCTCCAGGAAAAATAAAGATTCTGATTTCAGATGGAGCAAAGGAGCAACCGCACGTGCTGGAACCAACCAATGATTTTTGATTCATACGTAAATGGCTTCAGGTCACCCCTCCAGCCACTGGAAGTACTCGTGGGGTAACCGTGCTTATGCGACCCGCTAGCGTCCGGAAGTTTCGTGGAGGGCTCCCTTCGGTGGAACAACCACACCAGCTCAGTAGTCCCACGGGACCACAGCCACGGCCTCCAAGGTCTATTTCCAGGCTGGCAAGGTTTATGATGTCACGTTCTCTCACGTGAGGTCCATGATGTCACATTCTCACGCGTGACAGCCTGAGAGCGTGGCTTTGACAGTTGGTGATGGAGAACAATATTTTGGCTGGAGGGAACTCGGTCAGGTCATCCATCAGACACGTCACGTGTTCCTGGGTCGTGCTTCCGAGGTCATGTCACACACCCCACTCGTGTCCGGGCTGACCAATTAGCCGCACAAAGCAGCTAACTTGGTCAGCCATTGCACCTTCTGTGTACGCGGCACACATACAATAATGCGTGATTTCAATGTAATCATGTCATGGAGTAATTTAGATGATTTTTTGTTTAAGTTTTCCAACTAGGGTTGAAAGTGTTAATGCTTCATCTTGGTCTGTTTATCTGTGTGTAGCGGGGGCTGGGGTTTGGAGTCGCAGTAATCAGCATCAAGTTCATCCCAAATGAATAAATCATTTTTTTACATATATAAAGCCTTGTTGCTATTTTTGAATTACTCTATGCACGACTCCAAAAGTTAGAGATCAAAACCAGCGCTTAAAGGATAAGCCTTGTCGGCCAAGGTGATGAAGTCATTATGTGTGAGGTCTCGTGGTGCGGCTGAGAGGGTAGCGTCATTATCGCTGATTAAACAGTCCCGAGGACAACACGCATGCTGACAATCATTACAGAACCCATATGCGTGATCGGTCTTCCCGGCTGTATTTTATTTCATTTATTGTTTTTATTTCCTGTTTGTGTTATTATTGTATTTCTGTGCGTTGTATTTTGTTACACTGTGTAATTCATTGTGTTTATTCTATTTCAAACGTCTCCCGCACCCACAAGTCCACAACCACAATTCCACAACCCACAAATCCACAACCAACAATTCCACAACCCACAAATCCACAACCAACAAATCCACAACCAACAATTCCACAACCAACAATTCCACAACCAACAATTCCACAACCAACAAATCCACAACCAACAATTCCACAACCAACAAATCCACAACCAACAATTCCACAACCAACAATTCCACAACCAACAATTCCACAACCAACAAGTCCACAACCAACAATTCCACAAACAACAAGTCCACAACCAACAAATCCACAACCAACAATTCCACAACCAACAATTCCACAACCAACAATTCCACAACCAACAAGTCCACAACCAACATGTCCACAACCAACAATTCCACAACCAACAATTCCACAACCAACAATTCCACAACCAACAAGTCCACAACCAACAAATCCACAACCAACAATTCCACAACCAACAATTCCACAACCAACAAATCCACAACCAACAATTCCACAACCAACAATTCCACAACCAACAATTCCACAACCAACAAGTCCACAACCAACAAATCCACAACCAACAATTCCACAACCAACAATTCCACAACCAACAAGTCCACAACCAACAATTCCACAACCAACAATTCCACAACCAACAAGTCCACAACCAACAAATCCACAACCAACAATTCCACAACCAACAATTCCACAACCAACAAGTCCACAACCAACAATTCCACAACCAACAATTCCACAACCAACAATTCCACAACCAACAATTCCACAACCAACAAGTCCACAACCAACAAATCCACAACCCACAACCAACAATTCCACAACCAACAAGTCCACAACCAACAATTCCACAACCAACAAGTCCACAACCAACAATTCCACAACCAACAAGCCCACAACCAACAATTCCACAACCAATAATTCCACAACCAACAATTCCACAACCAACAATTCCACAACCAACAATTCCACAACCAACATGTCCACAACCAACAATTCCACAACCAACAAGTCCACAACCAACAATTCTACAACCAACAAGCCCACAACCAACAATTCCACAACCAATAATTCCACAACCAACAAGTCCACAACCAACAATTCCACAACCAACAATTCCACAACCAACAATTCCACAACCAACAATTCCACAACCAACAATTCCACAACCAACATGTCCACAACCAACAATTCCACAACCAACAAGTCCACAACCAACAATTCCACAACCCACAACCAACAATTCCACAACCAACAATTCCACAACCAACATGTCCACAACCAACAATTCCACAACCAACAATTCCACAACCAACAAGTCCACAACCAACAATTCCACAACCAACAATTCCACAACCAACAATTCCACAACCAACAATTCCACAACCAACAAGTCCACAACCAACAATTCCACAACCAACAATTCCACAACCAACAATTCCACAACCAACAATTCCACAACCAACAAGTCCACAACCAACAATTCCACAACCAACAATTCCACAACCAAAAATTCCACAACCAACAATTCCACAACCAATAAGTTCACAACCAACATGTCCACAACCAACAATTCCACAACCAACAAGTCCACAACCAACAATTCCACAACCAACAATTCCACAACCAACAATTCCACAACCAACAATTCCACAACCAACAAGTCCACAACCAACAATTCCACAACCAACAATTCCACAACCAACAATTCCACAACCAACAATTCCACAACCAACAAGTCCACAACCAACAATTCCACAACCAACAATTCCACAACCAACAATTCCACAACCAACAATTCCACAACCAATAAGTCCACAACCAACATGTCCACAACCAACAATTCCACAACCAACAAGCCCACAACCAACAACCGACCAAGTAATCTCTCAAGGCGCAATTTTCCTCTTCAAACTCCAGCCGCAAACACAGCGCCTTTGGCCTGTCACACGTGGCCACGTTAGATCAACCACTGCTGACATCCCATGAAGTGGCACCGACTTAAAATGCCCCTGGGGGGATGGACTAAATCCCTCTCTGACAGGGATGTGAAATTTCAACTTTGTAATTGTAAGTCAAGAGCTCTTACAGCGACACCACCTTGCAGCCAGATTATTCATAGAATTACGTTGTAGTAATATAATTGCTGAGGCCACCAAAGTCAAGCGTGTGTATCATGAATCTAGGCCACTGCGTAAAAGCCAGGGTGGTGGTGGCTTGGGCTTGCTGCCCACACGGATAATCTCACAGATTCCCCATCACCAGTGGAGGCGCTGTCTCTTTGATGTCCAGGCATGTCACCATTCTCCGATGCACACCATTCAAATGTCACAATTTCTTGTCATTATTTGATTCAGAAATCGATTCCTTATTTTTCTGATTGGTCGTAGTGTCTTGTCTTCATTGCCCATGTCACTTGTATTGTCTTCATTGTGCTGTCTTTCAGAGTTAAAGTGATTTCTGGCTCAGTTGGTACTGGGGTGGAGCTCATCAACTGTTTACAGCCCTGAGTTAGTGGGAATATTCCACATTCCTATGAAAGGGGCGAGTCTATCACTGATGACCTCCCCACAAAGTGGTGCTTATTTTATCAACCCCAGGGGGGTGATCGGCTGAGTCAGCCCCCAACCAAGATTTGAACTCGCCACCATTGGATGCAAGCCACTGACTCTGACTCTTAGCCACTTGTTTGGTTGAGAAAGTGCTGTCTGTACCTGTCTGGTCGGTACTGTTTGTCTCATCCACACTGCATGTCACTGTACTGCCTCGTTCTCATGGTCTCATTAGTACTGGCTACACTATGTTGTTCATCTTATTTGTATTTTCTAGTTTGTCCGCTTTGTCTGCCTCGTCTGTGCGTTGGTGTCTCTTGCAATGCTGCGTGCCGCGTTCCTTTGTACCGTGCGTCTAGTCCATCTCGATTGCTCTTGCACGTCTGCTCTGTAACTGTTCACCTCGTTTGTTCTGACCCTTACAGCCTCATCACATTTGCATACAATTATAAATGTACATGTGGAGATATTAATCTATTCCTACATTTCAACCTCCAAAGTCCAGCCCTAGGCAATCAAACCTAGCTCACCAGCTACGAGCAGTGTCTGACCCGAAACCACGAGCCAACCGACTTCTTGTACATAGCGAACAGATTATCACGGTTATCTATGTACAGTGTGAAAGAAGTTCAACGTACATACATAGTGAACAGGTTAAGCAAATCCTAGCCCTACCACTTACCAGCATGCCGACTGACCACGAGTCACAGCTCCACCACTGATTCGAACCACAAAAGTGCCGCTTTTCACTCTTCGTTATTTTCCCAGTGTTCAGTGTTCATGACGCTCAAGGTAGAATGTGCAAATTGAGCTTCGCACTTTGTTCTATCTCTGCCTCCTGCAGGTCAAAATATAAAACAAACGACAAAATGAAATATTCTTAGGTTTTTTCGGTAAAGTCAAGAATATGAATCCTTGCAGTCACGAAAGCTTCAAATCTAGACAAAATGAAAACTCAAATAAATTAAAGTCCCGGATCCCTGTGGAGGGGTCACGCTGGAGGAGGTGATGTATCCGTGCCTGTCCCGTCTGTTTATCTGTCGGAATGTTCTTATGAAGCCCTGATGTTCTACCAAATCTGAACTGTCATGCTAGTGTATGATTATTAAAGCTGAATAATGAGAATATGAACATTAAAGTATTTTTTAAAAACCAACCGCAGATGTTCATGAGTCGTTAACGAAACCCCCAGCAGTGACGGGGAGCGTTGTGAGAAGATACTGAACATCTCGTTTGCAAGGGTATCGAGGTGTGATTTTCACAGTGCACCATCGCACTGCATCATCAGAACACTGAACACGTTTGTCATTAACAATGCGTGGCCTTCAACGGATACATACTACAATAGCAGGCGACGTTTCGGGCAATGGCCCTTATTCATTACATGTGCTTGTGCACCGCAGCTAACGCAGTATCACCAATCACTTGTTCACTTTGTAAGCGCACTGCCATGATTTGGAAAGGTTCATTTAAGTGTTGCTTAGCACAGGCCCAGAGGCCCAAAAGAACAAGCGGCCAGAAACAAACAGCACGATTACAGTTACAAGAGATGAGTGAACACGTTGTTCTTTACTGCTTTTGGTGTTTAGTTTGTTGCCCCCCCTCCGCACCTCCAATGAGTACTGTTGGCTACGCACGGTGGTTTATATCAGAAGTGTGTATTATATGTCGAGAGCTTGGGACAGCGATGATGACGGGAGGAAATTCCAATGTGGAACAGTGTGTTGTTGTGACCTGCATGCACGGTGGCGAGTGGGTCAGTTTTGTGAGTATGTGAGTGGGGTGCGTGAGTGAGTGAGCAGGTGAGAGTGGGTGAGTGAATGGGTGAGTGAGCGGGTGAGTAGGTGGGCGAGCGAGTTGATGGGTGAGACGAGACCGGTTGGGCAGCTGCACGGTGGTCGCTCACCGCATCCGCGGGATGGTTTGACTCGGACACGGGCAACAACACTCCAGCAGCAGCAAGTCGCCATATCAACAACAGCAGGTGGAGGGAGACACCGGCGGTGATCATAACGTGCACATAGCCTGGCACCACTCAATGACGTCACCGCCACTGAGTGGTGGTGAATGGCGGTTGTTGTTGATTTCACTGCCAGACGCTGCTACTTATACTCACGATACAGAGCTGAGATAGCCTCGGCACGACCGGGCTCGGATAGCTCCAAACCGGTTCAGGAAGCACGAGCCTGGCTCGGATAGCCAGGAACTACGACCCGTGTCACTGGAGATGCAATGGGTTTCCTGTGGCACGGATCGGGTCGCAACATTTTCCATTGCAGGCCAAGCCCGAACATATTTCTCGGTCAGCCCAGGTATTTTAAAACCGTGCAGGTAAAGCTCAGTGGGCTTACCTAGGAAAATAAAATAACTTAGCTTAAATTACGTAACATTACTTAGCTTAAAATTACGTAAAACTACGTAGCTTTTTAGTTTGATTTTCACTAAAATCCCTCTCGCCACATCCCCTGTATCAATTTCAGTCCGATGATCGATCCGTTTAATCCCAGCACTCTTCTCTCGTATGAGTAGCGTAAACACATTCCTGCGGAGGGAGCTGGTAGGGACGTTGGGTTGCTCGGTCAATGGCCAGGGTCAACGGCGGGCACAAGCCGGCGTGAGGAGGTTAAACGTTGAGTTATATAAGGGCACCACGGGGTGACCAGCCACGCGGGGATCCAAGTGACGGCGACAGACCAAGCAGCACCCACAGGCATGCGGCACGATTGGCCGCGCTGTACGACGCGACCCCGGGCTTTTGAGGTCAGGGGGATAATAAGTAATATTTTAAAAATATTTTTTTAAAAACACTCTTTAATGAAATGTACCGTACGAGTAATGGCAGAACTCCACGACTCCAGGAAGTGGCCCCGAGGCTTGCCATAACGTAAGGACCGTGGTGATTTACAGCCAACGTCAGTTGAGCGTGGACAATTAGAGCCAAGGCGAAACATAACATATAAAAAAGATGGTTTCATTTTTTTAATGATAGAATATAGTATTGTCATCAGTATGACATAAGTATACCAAGTTTGCAGTTGATACCACATTGGAAAGTGGGTTAAAATTGAGTGACAATATTTGAGCATACGACAACGACGACGACAACAGACAGAGTGAGTTAAATAACAGCGTGTAATACTAATTATAAAGGGGAGCCCGGGGGGCGTTCAAAAGAGTGAATCTTCAACATCTTGGCTGTCAAGACCCCCTGCCCGTCCTGCCTTCTTCTGCCTCTCACGGCGTCTGTGCGACGCCCGTATGTGCCGCTACGAGGCAGTGTTGAGGCAAGGCCTTTTCCTCCTCCTCTTCCCTCCGCCTCTCGCGGCGTCCGTGCGACGCCCGTGGGTGCCGCTACGAGAGAGGGCGCGAGCGTGGTGTGGGGGGGGCGTCACTCGGTCGGCGGGGGCCCGGCGGGGCCCGACCGACGCGGTGGAGTTTCCTTTGGCCTTTAAAAAAAATGTCTTTATGCAAGCCAACAACTTTTATTGAGCACATCAAATTTAATGAATTCCGGAGTCAAAATAATATATTTTACACTTTTGAGTCCCCAAAAAATGCGTGCATTGAAAAGCTTGTTTTTTTTACCTATTTTTTACTCCTCCCTTCTATTGGCTTTTCTTTCGACAAATCGCATTCGAAGTGAATAAAATCTCGTTCATTTGTCAAGGCCTCATCGAGCCGAAGTAGCGTGGTTGGTATGGGCCTCGGCGCAAGGAAGTAATGAGCAGATGATCCATCTCATGTACGCCCGAAAGCCACTGCACAGTCCGGCCAGCAGCTGCTGGCAGCACCGGGTGGAGGGGGAGGCCCCTCCAACCCCCGGACTCCACCAGAACCCCACGCCCTCCCTCCCACCCTCTCCCCATCCGACCTCCACCACCAACTTTCACGCAAAGATCAGGAAGCTCCTTGGAATAATCGCTGTCTAATCGTCCCGCCTCACAAATGGCGAACGCTCTTTTACAAGCAATGCTCGTCATTGCCGATCGCTTGAATGAATAAACAGCACGGGTCGCTCAATTTGAAGCCAGAGAGCCGCGCTATACCGAACCGAGGACGCGGCGTGTTTGTGCGTCACGTGCGCAGCACGTGGGGTCTTCATGGATGATGTGGAGTCCCCGGAGGCCCTCTTGGCCGTTCCATCAATTATAATTCAATGTGAATGTATCTCCAAGTTGGGATACCTGTTGATCAACTCAATTGCGCCGAACATAGCAATCATCCCCGGCGGCTGCGTAAATTTTCCAGGACTCTGCTGAAAGAGGATCGAGAAGGAGCGATGCTCTCCTGGGTAAACAAGCAGAATAATTCTCCTGTTTTCAGTCCCCGAGAGCAACGCACATTTTTAATTCCAGCTTTGTTTCACGTTGGGTCATCTTTACGACGGGGGCTATCACGACACAGCCGCTTTTGCACGCGCGCGAGGGTCTCTGGCGAGTAACGTGCAGTGGCCTCTGCAGGAGCACCGTCGCGCCGCCGTCCGAGAAGGAGCGCCAGAGGGAGGGTGGTGCCAAGAAAGAAAAGGGATCGACAGGGTAACGTGTTCGCTTCTCAACGCCGACCACGTCACAAATTGCGAATGCTGCAGGTATGAGATCAAACTCGGAGCCATATCTGCCAAAAAAACATCTGGTGGGTTCACCATCATTATTGGTGAAAGCAAGCCTGGCTGATGGAGAAACAATGTCGAATCCCGTCCAGAAATGTTACTTGTGTTGAACTAATACTGCTAAAATTCCAAACTCCGATAGGGCTGTTTGTCTGATGGGATGCGTCAAATACTGTTGTACTTCATGAGGTATGTGGAAGAACAGATGTGTGGAGGAGGCGTATTGTCTGCTTATTTATGTTCTACAAAAGCGATCATGGTGGGAAACGGACAAAGTCCGCAAGGGCTCCGGGAAGCTGCGACAGTGACTGGAGCTGCTGGAGGTCGCACGTTGCATCGTTCCCAGGGTGCTTGTTATATTGCCATTCCTTCGTGGTCGTTTTTTCCTCCTAACAGAGTGCAGTAGGCATTGGCTTAGCTCTTCATAAGAAATCTCTGCTGCATACTCACCCGCTCATGCACGTGAATAAAAACTGGGGTACACATTCACAAGAAGACAACGATCCCCCATATAGCCTTCAACAGACGTATGGGGCAAGTGCTGTTAGTGAGCACCTATGAAGGCCAGCACGGTACAGGAAGGGGTGGGTGGCCAGCACCGCTCCTCCCCCACACACACAGACACGCACCCACAATTTTGATTTAAAGCTTTCGTGACTGCAGGGATTCATCTTCTTGGTTCTTTCGGTAAAGTCACGTAGAAGGGAAGTAATAAAATAATTTTATTATGTTTTATTTTTATTATTTTATTACTTCCCTTCTACGTGACTTTACCGAAAGAACCAAGAAGACGCACCCACATTTCAACACTTCTTAGCACCCGCGTCACCGCGGCTTGTACAGCAGACGCGGGGCTTCTCGGCGAGGGCGGAATACAAATATCCCAAGCGATGCTGCTAACGCGCAGCACAACACTGAGCAAATACAAAGGGCGTTGAGAGTGGAGATGATGAAAATACAGCACAGAGGACGGCGCTCGTTTTGTTTGATGCCGCTTTTTTCGATTAAAAGGCACCTCTGTGAAGGTTCACGCAGCCGAGATTCGAATGTTTTTAACTCAACACCCATGTGGGGAATGCGGCGTCTATAATTGAGCGGGACCCACTGCCCCTTGGCCCAATGCCCCATGCAGAACCCGGCGTCTCTTCATCGATCACGGCCTCTCTGATGGCTTCTCGCTTTGGGTTTTTCGCCTACATCTTATTTTTACTCCGAATTTACCCGACGCCGAGTGGGGGCATAGCAGTTAGCGCACTTCTATGAAGCTGGTGACTGAAGTTCAATTCCCGGCCAGAATTAACGTCAGCGACGAGTGGTCTCTCTGCCAGTTCTGGATGGCCTCATTTTACCAACCCGCACTGACCAGCGTGGTGAAGTATGGTCAATCAACCCACATGACTGGGCACGGCATGGCGAAGTTTTAATATTATTTTAGGATGTAATTTGGGTTCCTCCACCCAATCAGATTCTATCTTCGCCACGTCCATACAGCAGCGCGCTGATGATTGCCCCACCGATCCATCCACAAATGTATCCTCAGCAACAAC